TATTTCCTAAGGTTATATCTTTAACAGAGAATTGCTGCCTTAGCACAGTTTGTATTATTGTATTGTATTGTATAATACATTATGTATTCACATACCTTGTAGTCAGACCTGTGTTACCCTCTTTGTACTGTCCTTTCAATACCTTATGTATATTTGACTATGTCTCCCAGCAAGACTTTCTCATCAGGGTCTATGTATATCCGGACAGCATGAGGGAGAGGTATAAATGAACCTTTAGAGACTTCACCCTGCTGATGCTAATGGGAAGGATAGGCGAGTAGCTGTGGAAGCTAATTGTCTGACTGCTTCAGGAGGCAGGTTCTGTCCCTCTCCTTTATCAGCAAGTCTCTTCATTAGTAGGTACTGATGAGCTTGGCAAGGTCAAGATAGGAAAGTTGCATATACTGATGTCCAGTTAGACTCGCAGCCAGCCAGCTTCTTTGCCCAAAGCATTTTATATCAGTGGTCAGACATTAAAGAATAAAATTATAGTTATAGTTATATTATGGTAATTTAAGAACAAAGAGGAGCCTTAAGTTCTTTTGGTACTACATGGAATTAATTACTGGAGGACATTTTTTTTTCCGTGCAATCTCATAGCGCATTTGCTCTTGCAAGCTAAAGCAAACAAGTGATATCAATCACCTTGTTAAGGTATCAGCATGATCAATGTAGACCTATTTATGTAAGTGTTTCCAGTATACATAAAAAAATTTTGGTCTTCAGATGGCGAAATGATAATCAATGTGACAACTCAAAGTGCTATAAATGGCAAGATGTGAAGCGTCTGACTAACGGCCCTTAATATGCCTCATGGCTACAGTTGAAAAAACCAGGCTTCTCAGGGGGTCACAACACAATGTTTTTCTAGAAAGCAGGTGACTCAATGGAAAGCATGTGATTAGAGCTCAAAAACAGTTCAAAGCTTTATTTCAGTGAATACATAAAATAAATTTAACACAGTGACAAAGTGTGCACATGTCATTTGCACCTTCACTGTTGCAGGAGAAGGCGATGGACGTGATCATTTGGGCATCACATGGGTGCTAAAAAGAGGAAGAAATTATGTTTCTTTTGCCATTTCTGGCATATAGCTGAGGTATGTCAACCACTGGCACAATAGCAACCTGTCAAAAAAAATTAAAATCGAGTGAACTCGAATAGAAGTAAAACTAAATCTAACACAGGGTTGTTGATTTAAACTGAGAACATCTATACTGACTGTTATTCCAGTATACCACAGACAACTTTCAACAGCTTACAATTAATATTTAGGTAAAATAATCCAAAATATACTGACAAACTGCAGATTTAAGACAGGATGTAATAAAAGCTTTCACTATGCATGAAGAGCTCACCTTTCCCAAGCAAGCCTTAAATGCTGTAGCCATCAATGATGTATGAGATGCCAAAAACACACGTAAACTGTAGATGTAAGAAAGAATGACCTCAACCTAACGAGGTAAAACACTGGCAAACTAACACAGCACTGGTGCAACTACAGCTGAATGTGCTAAGAGCTAATGTTTGCCATTTGTTGGTGTGTCTTTATGCCTCTGATGAAGAATTATAAAGAATATGACAAAGATGCAGCTTACTGTATGGACTTCTACCGTTGCTACATAACATTGATCACTGTCATTTCATTTTAATTGGCTGTCAGCCAGCGGCCGCTGCCAAGACTCTGATATGACCAAACAGAAACTGACGCAGCAAAAAATTGGAAATCTGGTGAGCCGCAGTTGAGAGGTCAAATAAATTCTAGCACAAACCAGATAGGGAATCCAGGGAGGATTGATGAGGGCTTGATGAAGCATAACAGAGAGTAAAAACTTAGATGACCTTGTGTGTGAAAAGCAGATGCTGTTGATGTTTAGCCAGATTCACTCTGAATTGAGAGGAATTTGTGGTAAAAGCTTCCTCGAAGAAAAGGTTCAGAGGCGGATAATGACTTAGACTACCAGTAAACTATATCAGGATTAAGACAGATAAGACATTTATCTTGTTGCATTTGTATTTTCACAGTGAAGCGTTTTCTTCTGGCTTCTGGATTGCTGAAAAGATCATTGTCTGAGAGAACAAATTCTGCTGACCATATCAAGTCTAATTAATTTAAGCTGTTACTAAATCACAATTCAACTTCTAAGTCTTTTGGAATGATTTGATGAGAAATTTAATCCTTAGGGTTAGGGTTCAAGATTCAGTCCTGGCTAGATCAGTGTTGAATGGTGTTGCAGAGAATGATTGTTCTGGGACTGTAGAAATTCAGGTTTTCCAGTCTCAGTTTCATGACTGGTGTTACCTTTTTCCAGACCCTAGGTGAAATTTTACCATGAAAGCCCCCTTCAATATTTTTATATTAATAGACCGTTTTGACAGCAGCCATTTTGTCATACAATACTATATAGACAGGTGTTACCAATAATACTAATTAAGGTTCCATTCAGGTCAAACAGAGTCAGGGTGCTGCTATTATGTTATGTTGGCTCATTGGAAAGGATCTCCTCAAAATATACAGGAATGAAGTCACACAAATAACAATATTCTCCAACATTACACTGAAATATATTCCCACTCTAACAAGTTATCTAACAATAAAAACAAACTTGCCATTGGTAAATGGAGCCTACATTAATAATGTATTATAGGACTTTTTGTATGGCAAAGGTGTCACAATAGTGATGAACCCACAGCTCTACGGAGGACACGACGATACATTCTAAAGTTGCTCTGTGTCTGCTGGATGTGTAAATAGGTATTATTAACATTAATCATAACAACCACCCCATCATTTATGCATTTTTTGACTGATGTGATGAAATAATAAACATGCTGTATGCATGTATCTCATTTCCCTTAACTGAACTTGACAGTTGGTCTCTACATACGTATAAACTTGTTTCATAGCAAAATGATCATTATCTCATACTGTATGTTGGTAAACTGCATCCCTTTAGTGTAGTGTAACACCTGATCCTGTGCTCAAGAGATACTCTGTCATTCCACAGTATCTCTACTATGATTAATGTCGGTTGCCCCTGCGTCTTTGAAAATCCTGCATTGTCCTAGTATTGGGTTTCACCAAGCACTCTCCATTAGCTCTGCTTTGGATTCCTTCCAGAAGATCTTTTCTGAAGAAAGTCCCTGAGGTCGGCCCGGCTGTGCCTCTTCCTTTGAAATCACACGTTATCTTCCATCCAATAAAGCGTTGATGGTCTCAGCCAGTGTTCTGGAGGTGTGGCTGCAGAATTGATTTTCTTCCAAACCTCTTTAATGTCTCAGAATCACATCACTCTACTTAAAACCCTTTGCCATCTCTTTACTATTTTATCTAAAAGAAGCATTGGTTTTTATTGATCTTTGAACAGATTTGTACCTGTTTTTTGGTCATTTGGTTCAAGGTGTTGTCCCGGTCTTAACAAAGACTAATTAAATCACCCCATTAACCCCACATTAACTCTCATCCTATATTGAAAAAACTTAATATGATAAACAACATTAATGACTAAAGATTGATCATTTTTTGTCTTTCCAGTGAAGAACTACTGACTCACAGCCTGATATACTCACTCTGTCCATTGAGGCACCCTGAAGCAGGCTGGCGACAATTTCAGCAGATGTTCTACACTCACTCACAGGTTTTTGGATCTGTGCTACACTTGTGTGCAAACGTGTACACATAGGGTCACTTGAGGTTTCCTATGCAAAACCTTAATATGACTGAATGAATCTAATTCATTCAGTAAAAATTCTGTATTGAAATGAGCATTCAACTCACCTAACTTAATCTGCTCGCCTGTTTCCAGTTTTTCTATTTAAAGTTGCAACCAGGAATTTTCACTTTGTGTTGGTCCTGGGGGCCCTTGTGGACAAAAGCAGTAGTGTTTCCACGGCCTATTCATCTGATTTAAGGAGGAATCCAACCCAGTGACAGGCATTAAGAATACCTACATAGAAATAGCCTTCTTGCTGATGGTCTTTGTCATATTAGTCATATAGATGCATCAGTATCAAACTGAGACTGTTTCAAACTGTTAAAAACCCCTTGTAGTACGCTTTCTTTGTTATTTACTCACCAGTTCACATATTTGGTCATCCTAAGTGAGCTGCTGCTCTTAATGCAGTTTGGCTTGTTTCCACTAATGAAGGCACCACCCAGGATCTGCAGCTCTAATTATTCATTCAGTCCCCAACTGTACCCACTTAAGCTTTAGAAATTGATTAGCAGATGGTATATTATGCTATCCCAGCCATCACACCAGCTGAACATTAAATCCAATGTGGAAATACCTCAAAGTTTTGGTACGCCCATAATGGTATTTAGTCACACAGATAGTAATGCTTTTATTTTAGTAGTCCGAGTGATAACTGTTGACAGTGGTCTGTGGTTTATCCAGATGAACTGGAGATTGCTATTGACATTTTTTCAGATTGTTCAGTGCTTTGACAAGCAAGAATAAAATTGTCCATATGTCTGCCATTGTACTGCAGTGACAGACGAAGTTTTAGAGGTGAATCTAGCATATATAGATACTAGCTACTAGGAGTAAGTTAGAAATATGTGACCCTTAAAGATACAGTTAAAATCAGAACCTTTTCTTGTATTACAGTTCCAATCATTCATTTTACTAATGTGTCTTGATTTTGAAGTAATTGTGGAATATTAAGACATTAGGACTTCATGGGTTGTGTCTGCTGGACTGACAGATGTCTTGGCACATGGTGGTTGCCATCTGCTTGACAAACTGAACACACAAAATTAGGATTTTTTGGCTTAACTGACAAGCATGGCAGTGAGCAGTAAACCAAACCCCCCAGAAGCCTTTCACTGACACCACAGAGGCTAAATCCATATGTAATTCTACAGTTTAGGTTATGAATCAAGCCAGCTGTTCCACTGAATATATTTACCTACATTTACCTACCTACTTACAGGATTTGATTAACAGTGACATACTTTAGCCTTAACTGTTTTTGTACTTTTTCCCTATCTCTTCTAGCTTCCTCTTGGTCTTCTCCTGTCTCATACTTTCAGTCTTTGCCACCATCAAAGAGTTCAAAAATAGCTCAGAGAGTGCCTTGTACATCCTGGTAGGTATCCTTATATCTTCTGTATACTCCTTATACATCCATGTGACATGGTTGATTTTCACTGTTTTGGTTTCTTCCACAGGAAATTGTGACCATCGTGGTGTTTGGAGTGGAGTACATTGTAAGGATATGGGCTGCTGGCTGCTGCTGTCGATACAGAGGATGGAGAGGGAGGCTAAAATTTGCCAGAAAGCCTTTCTGTGTCATAGGTGAGAAAACAGGGTCGGTTTGTGTTTTGCTGGCTGTCATTTTTCTCACCTTGCCTCACCAGAACACAGCGCAGACACATTACTGTGTTTTTCCATTCCTTATATTTTCAAGTGCTGGAGGATTTTAGCGAGGATATTGTCACTATCTTTGTTATGCTTTCATGTGATTTTCAGCATATTCTTTGCCTTGAGGTTATGCTAAAAACAAGGTGAAACTAGATTTGTAACCATAGAAGCCTCAATGACAATTCAAATACTAGTTATCCCCAAGTAATTATTTCAACTGTTCAGTTGCAAGAAACATGATGCTCACAGTACACACTAAAGTGTTGTTAATACAGTCGGATTTGATCAAGGAGATACTATCTCTTGGCTCCAGCGAATGTAGAATTCTATGATTGTGTTTCGCTCTCTCTCTCCAGACATCATGGTGCTGATTGCCTCAGTATCTGTACTGGCAGCTGGATCTCAGGGCAATGTTTTTGCCACCTCGGCCATCAGGAGTTTGAGATTCCTGCAGATCCTGCGCATGCTGCGTATGGACCGCCGCGGAGGCACCTGGAAGCTGCTTGGATCTGTAGTTTACGCCCACAGCAAGGTAATCACTTTGTTCACCAGCGGTTCACTAGGACTAGGGGAGCTGCCACCCCAGTTTGGTGTCAAAATGGTGTAAAATTTAACACATTCATTTAGATTTATTTGAAAAATAAACATTTGAAATTTTACATAAATTCACATTTATTATTATAATTCATTAATTAATTCATTTTTTCAGCCCTGAGTAATGTCTGTAATCTTCCTTTCAAATTGCATACAGCCTCAATAACCTCCATAAATAAACTAGGTACGCCTGTACGTTGCCCAAGAGGCAAAATCCAGGGCCAAGATTTTTAAGTGGGGGAAAAGGGGGGCATCCAGTAGAAATTTTATCTTTGTGTGGAGCCCTACCACAAATTTGTTTTAGAATCTTCATTGTTAAGACATTCATTTGTATAATAAGTTATTTTATGCCAAACCTTCTTTATAAATACTAGTGCAGTGCCCGTAGGA